TACATCTACAGATATATATATATATATACATGTGTATATGAGTATGTGTACATATGTACATGCACGTACACACACATTGGGGTTTTAAACATTAGCGGCACCTTCGGAGGGGTCCCAATATGAAGGATCACAGAGGGCCCCCTGTTTATCGAAACTACAAGACACGGCAATTTACACACATGTATTGCACTGCTTACACACAAAGCTGCACATTACACAGGGGCATCACCCGAGCAGGCGCACCACGCGAGTCCTGCAGCAGAATCCTCAGCTTTCTCAGGTCACTTGCATGTGGGAATTTCTCAAAATGGGGGGTCCCTTGAGGACGAGGGATTGTATAAGGGGATTGAGCAGTGTCCCTCTCAAGGATTGTATAACGGACATTTTGGGAAACGCTTATTTTACACCCCAAAATCCTCGGTGCCGTATCTTCATTGGGCCCCAGAAGGGCCCAGAATTTGAGAAAAGCCCCCTTGCTAACCCCTGCAGCCAGAGCTGTTTGCAGGCCAACCCGCCCTGCCCCGGGGCGCAGGCCACCAGAATTGAAGGGAACGCAGCGTAGGGGGTGAGGACACTTTCCTGAGGGCACACAGGGCGCAGCCAGAGCACCAAGACCTCTGGGATCGATTAGTTGAGCTTCACTGCTCTTTGGTAACGATTCTTAGTGGACTCCAGGTGAGCAAACGAAACAAGTGCCCACTTCCTCTACTTGTAGGCACCAGGCCGTGAAAATCGGCTGCTCGGCCAGCGCCTGCATGGGCATAACTCAGATGTGACTTGTCTTGCCTGCTTGTTTTGCAAGGGGTCTGCCAAGATACCTACAACCAGTGCTGAGCCAGCATAAGCTTCCTGCTGGTCTGACGCACTTTTTCCAAGCAGCTGAGAATCCGGTCCTCCCCATGACATGGCACTCCAGGAGCTGTCTGAATTGGAAGCAGAGCCTAGGCCTTCGGGAGGCTGCCGCTGCTGCTGCTGGTGCTGCTGCTGCTGCTCATGCTGGGGCGGATGCTGCTACTACCCATTCGATCGACTTGTGCCAAGACCATGGTCAACATTGACATTGATGCTTCTGCTTCACGTGCTCTCACGATTGCTTGCACTTGGGACTACACCCACCATCGGAGTCGAAAGCTCGCCTTTGAAAACAATTTTTCGACCCCTCTTGCCTGAATGCCCACTGCGCTGCAGTACGGATGGGCATCGCACTGAAAACCTCCCCAGGCAGAATGCTGTCATGCAAAAACACTCTGTCTTGCAACAGGCGTTTGGAACAGGCCACACTATTATGCATTTCCTTGGCTAGTTATCGAGACAGCTATGTGGTAGTTTCCCAAACTAGGGGGACCCAATATGCACCCCAAAATACTACAAATCTTATTATTAGTAGTTTCCATTTTATTTCCACTGTCCCAATACACTCCCAAAAGAATCCCAATGTGACCCCAATGGATTCAAGCATATCCCTAGACCCTAAACCCTAAATTCCTAAACCCTAACCCCTAAACCCTAAATCCTAAACGCTAAACCCCAAACCCTAAACCCCAACCACATAGCATACCTTAGCCCTTCAGCTCACAGGGCCTTGGGGTGCATTGACGGAGGCCATAAGGCCTGGCCTTAGAAAAAAGAAGAAGATGCGCTGCTAAGTAATATGGGAATGTAGTAATTTAGGTGTTATATGGGTGATTTAGGGATGATATGGGTCAATCTAAGGATTATATGTGATAATTTAGGGATTATATGGGTTAATTTAGGGATTACATGGGTTTCAGGTTTAACATTTAGGGTTTAGGGTGTAGGGATCAGGGATTACGGTTTAGGGCTTAGGGTTTAGGGTGTAGGGATCAAGGATTAAGGTTTAGGGTTTATCGTGTAGGCCTGTGTAACTTACTGCTTCTAAGGAGGGAGTATGGGAATCCTGTGTATAGGGATTAGATGGGTTTAGGGTTTAGGGTTAGTAATAAGGGCAACATAGGGAATAAGGGGATTGAGAACGTAGGGGTTCAATAGCGACAATGGAAAAGAAAATGGAAACTACTACTTAGGGTTTAGGGTAAGTAGGGAACAAGGGAACATGTTACATGGGGAGTATATGGGGATTACAGCCTACTACCTACTAACCACCAGTATAATAATGTGCTGGCATGCGAAGTTCTATGCAGGAATACATGACATGTTCTCGCAGTGAAACCATTCTACATGTGTTGAACGATACTTCAAAACTCCATGCGGAACAGTGCCTCGACATAAGGCGACGGTACTAATTTCGCACTTTCCCAAAATAGGGGAACCCCAATGTAGACCCCAATATACTATATTCCTTGGGTACTGCCCCCACCCAGTAACAGTCTATTCCTATTAAGGGCTATATATAACCATATTAAAATTATTAT